CCCTACAAAATCAGGATTAACACAATTCTATATGTATCAAGGGGATGACCCTAATCTCCTGACTGGCAGCTAGGGATGCTTAACACTGTATAATAAGGAAAAGTTTTCCTTAAAATAAAGTAGTGAATCTTCCTTGTTAATAATTCATTGCTATCTGTAATTCTTGAAAGATTCCTTATCATTTCTAGAACTTGCCTCACAAACATAATGATTCCTTCCTATTTCCAGTGTATTCTATCTTTTCTAAAGAACTGCAGCATTCAGATAGTAATGCCCTGTGATTTTTCACATTGCCTACCATGTTTCATACTCATTTGTCTGAACAAACCTAATTCTTTACATGCATCCTTTCAAGTCTCTTTTTAAATGTATGGATAGGCATCTTTAAAACCTGACCTAAATGCACTTTATATTATCTTTCTGTTCTATTCCCTTGTTTTCAGTCATTATACTAGCTAGGAAGAGAGTCATGGTATCTCTAATGAACTGCTTTAACACATTTTTTGCTAGTCATTTCCTAGCATGTGTCCTCTGCCCAGACTATATGATATACCCCTCTATGCTAACCTATGGCTCTACCCACATATCCACCTCATTAATACCCAGTAGTTATTTTCTTTCCTTCCTTATGTTAGCTGAATATAGTGTCCTCATTTCTTAGTTGTGTACTCAAAAATCCATTTAGGACTTCAAAGTTCATTCTTCAAAAATGTGGATATTTAAAAAGATACCCAGAAATAACCTCTCACTGAAGGTGCTTCACTCTGTTGTTAGACATGAAGGCAGCAGCAAATAATATGATGACTCATAGTTTTTAACTCTATCATTGGTATTTCTATATGAAACATGTATTATAATTGTTTATTGTCATTTTGTTTTTTAATGTCATGCCAGTAGGTATAGACAGTTTAACATAGGTGTAGACAGTAGAGCCTGTGAAATTTACTGATATGCTTTTTAAAAGAAAATCAAATACCTCATGGGGGATTGAATCTTTCTTTTCTTGTGTATGGCTTTAGAAGCAAGAGCTATCATCATAGTTTTAATTCCAAATTCCTCAACCAGACCAATGCCCTCCTGGAAAGCGAGCATAACCCCAGAATGTCACCCTCAAAATTGTATCTGGGGCAGGGTGTTATCATGTGCTCCATGGTTTGGTCAGGGTTTCCACAGTCACAGCCAGGTGAGATTTTTAGGTGCCACTTGTACATCAGGTGGCCATACCGGCCATGTCTACTGTGTATCGTATTAAGGGTTATCCACATCCTCTGTGGAAGGTTGAAGCCCAGTTGTTGCATTGTTGGGTCAGAAACAAGGTGTTTATTAGGGAAACCTAATAACCTTTTGCTCAAGCTTTCCAACAAAATTCTTCAGTGTTGTAGTATAGCAGGTGCTTGGTTCACGCCCAGAAAGATTTTCATGAAATCACATGATGAGTTCAGAGATTTTGAAGGTCTCTGTGGATTGGAAGGTCTGGATTACTACTGATGCACATTATTTCTTTGCATGTTGCTGCATCCCGTTTAATAGAGGGAGAAGTAATGTTTGAAAGTATTGGCAGCCACTGCACTGGAAATGATATCAAAGTTCCAGACATAGTCCTCATTACTGAGTACAGTTGTGTGTTGATGAGTTTGATATGTCAACTTGAGGCCTAGATGGGTGCACAGTACTTAGCTATTGAGAAGACCAGGGCTAAGACAGAAGTGTGAAGGACACCCCAGCTTGTGCTGGTGAGCTCTCACATGATGTTCACTCATGTCTTTGTTTTCACAGCAGTCTTTCAGAGGTGATAATGGTAAGTTAGGAAGCAGTCAAGGGTCACCCCTAGGTTGGTAGGAGTCTGGTTGTGATGTACTTTTTCTCCACAAAAGGTGACACTGAAGGTGTTATGTGCCTTGCGACTGTCCAGATGGAATGTGGAGATGCTGGACTTGGTTGGATTTAGTCATAGTCTCCACTTACGAAAATATTCAGCCATTATTGATAAGTCAGAGTTCAGTGTGGCTTCAATATCCTGAAAAGTTTTTGCTTGTGTGGTCAATATTGTCAGTGTAGATAAATTTCCATGATGATGTATATGGCATATCACTTGCATAGATGTTAAAAAGTGTTGGTGGCAGAACACTACCCTGTGGGAGGCTGTTGCTGAGTATTCTTGGGGTGCTGACCTTATCTCGTAGGTAGACCTTCATCCTTCTGTTACACATCAAAGTCCACAGCAGCCAGAATAATACGTCACATGGCAGCAGCAGGGACAGTTTGAGCATCAGTCCCTCTTTCCACACAGTATCATAGGCCGTGGAAAGATCTATGAAGGTGGTCCCAGCCTTGAGCTTGTGGTAAAAACCAACCTCATTGTTTGTAGTGATGGACTTGTTCACAGCAGCTACAATGAGGGTCTAAAGGCAGCCTGTTCTTGAGTGAGTAATAGGTTAATAATAGGGCTAATTCTTACAAGTATGGGCCACTCCAGGAACTTATAGGATATGCAGAGCAAAGAGATGTGCCGATAGCTCTCAGGATCATGTACCATCTCTCCTGGTTTTGGCAAGGCTGTCACCATTGCCTCATGCCAGATTTGTGGAATATGGTTGTTCTCCATCACAGTTGAAAAGAGGATTCTGGACAATTTGCCATTGTCTCTGAGGTTTTTTTTAACCTTCTTTTTGTGTTGTTTATCAAGGGATCCCTTTGAGTTGGCCACCAATTTGGCAGTGACAGCATTTGTACTGACTCGCAGGTTAGCGGCCTCTGATGGGTTTGATGCTCCATGTTTCCTCAGGATGCTCCAGACCCGACAGCTTGAGTGCATAAAGTCTATGGATGCCATGCACTCCAGCCAGCTTTGTTGTCTACAGGTATC